AGTCCTGCACAGCTTGGTATGGAGTTCCCACGAGTCTATCACAGGTCTGGGCCCACCAGAAACTGTGATGTTTCTGCTGTCTTCAAATAAGAGATTCTCATTCCAGGGTGCCTATATTGACATGGAGGCTAAAATCACATCATGAACATTTCTGAGGTTGGGATGCAATATCATGATAGCTTCATAAATTCCCCCAGGGCATTCCTAGTTGGCACCAAGGTGAACAGACTGGCAAAGGGCTATGCTGCTCAAAATGGGGCTCCGAGTCCACAACAGAGAGCACACCTAGATACTGAGATAAGCAACTCTTCACGGTCAACCACAGACCCCTGATTGCAGGGTGAAGAGGAACACATATGCACAAACACAGACAAGATAGAGGAATGAGAAAGAGAGAGACATAGAGACAGAGACAGTATCAGGGAGGAGAGGGAGGGAGGGAGGGAGAGAGAGAGAGAGAGAGAGAGAGAGAGAGAGAGAGAGAGAGAGGAGAGAGAGAGAGAGAGAGAAACTGAGAGAGAGAAACTGAGAGAGAGAAACTGAGAGAGGGAAAGGTGATAAAATGCTTTTATTGAGATGACAAATTAATGCATGCAATTGTGTCATCTTAGAGAGGACCAAGAGCAGCAGACATCAGTACCAAGCCTTGCTGCCACATATTAGGATGTGGTACAAAAGCCCTCCAGCTTCTACTAGAAGCATCCAGCACACAATGTCTTTCCTGGCAAGTAAAATAAACAGCATTCTCACACTAGCCACCACTTTACAGGATCTCTCCAAATGCATGCTGGGAACTCACACACTACTGCCTCTATCCCTGAGTCATGTTATTCCGGCCATACACAGGCTGTGGTTTTCATTTGGAGGAAGCAGAACTGTCTATGTCCCCATCTCATCCTGCCCAGGTTTGCTTCAGGGAAGCATTTAGAGAAATGGTGTTGGGCAAAGGGACACCGTGAAGGTGCACCCAACCTCCCAGAAGCCCATTTCTTAGACAAAATAAACTAAGGGTGAAATTGTGGAACTGAGACAGTCATCATGGAGTTTGAGACTGTAACCACCTGTTGTCCAAGGATCCTTCGGTTACTAATATGAGGCGATCTCTCAGATCATTCCGTTGGGCGGTCATCACCTGGAGCTGAGTGGTCAGGCTCTCCACCTTGTGCTTCACCTGCCTCTTTGAGAGCCTGGTTGGAGTGGGTGGTGGTTCCTTGGAGGCCCCTGTGGGTAGATGAATGAACACAAGTGAACATGCTTTGTGAAGAGACATAGAGAACAGGTCACCCTGAGACCTGAGAAGGTGTTTGAGAAAGGATGTAAGCAAGCAATTAAGTGATGCCCCAAAGAATTTTGCCATGGATTGAGATGCCCCCACTGGGCATCTTAGGTCTCCCATCTCTGTGTCTGGAGATAGGTGTTTCAGCCAGCTGGTTTCCTCTGATCCTTTAGCACATGCTTTAAGTAACTAAGGAGAGAGCCTCCTCAGGCTTATTAACAGCTCTGGACTCTGCATTCAACTTGGATGCAGGGTTCACTAGTCTGTGGCTTTCAAAT